ATGCAAAATAGAAGAACTCAATTAATTAGGAAATGTGTGGGAGTGTAAATGGAGAGGCTGGGAGGAAGTGGGGAGGGGTCCTGGGCTAGGAAGCAGGCGGAGGGGACTGCTGCCAGCCTTTGCACCTTGTCGGGGTGCCCAGCGAGCGGGGAGGGATAAGAGTGGGCTGTCACTGACTCTGGGAATTTCAAGGGAGATTTCTTTTGGAAAGAAAATAAGCAGCAAGCTCTGATGAGAGCAAATAAGAGGCTGAGCCGGTAATGGAGGAGATAGTTGGGAGCTCCAGCTCCAGCCCTGCTGCAGGATGACTCAGTCTTCAGCGAAAGAGCAGGGATAGGAGCCAGGTTCCTACCCCCCAGGAGTGGTTGAGCTTTTAGCACATCTGCAGCTACTGCTCGATAGTGAATTAAATGGTTGCTTTGATGGGAGGGGATGACAGTGGTTACCTCTGCCCCAGCAGCTGAGTGATGCTTCAGGCAAGAGTCCCAGATAACCGAGAATAGAGCAAGGTTTTGGGTAGCTGCGGCTAACTCGTGGGCTCCCCTTGGCCACTCTGTTGGGACAGATTTCTCTCTCCCCATGTCCTGCTTATCTAGGGTTAACCTTTTCTGTGTCAGGATACCTCTGCAGAGGGACAGGCATCTGTCCCACTAAAGGACTGTGTCGGCTGGCTCTGTCTCCTACGACATACTTCATAACCTCTTTCTTTCTCACAAAGAGGTTATCCTCGTTTCCCCCCGCCACGAAGTCTTGAACAGAGGCATTTCAAGTCATGGCCCAGGCAATGCTGTCTCTGTAAGGTTCCTGCCATTTTGTCCTGCTCTTTGGTCTTGTGCTGGGAAGCAGTGGGAGGCACGAGTGCTTGCTTGGAAAGCTTGTTCCTGTGCCCCAGGCTGCCAGCTCTGCACGCTTAAAAATAGGGTTTAAATCCCCTCCTGGGTACAAGAGCCACGCAAGAATTTCATAGAGCTTTTTAGGGGGGAGGAGGAGGATATTTGAGACCTGGAGCCAGGATGGGGTCATGAGAAATCCTCTGCACCTGCTGGAATCATCCTCTGATTTGATGGTGGGGCAACGGGTACCTGACAGCCTAACAAATGCCATTGCTTTTCCTTGCTCCTGGCGTATGCAGTCAGCGATTTGAAATGAAACATGCTGTGCCAGGCAGAAAACCTCGCTGCGGGAAGATGGAGTTCAGGCAAAGGGTAGTTCTGTCGCCCTCCACGTGTGAGGGCATTGCTGGTTACCAGTTGCACCCACTCAGCATAAGTAACTAATTGATGTTGCCCTTAAGATCTATATAATATTCCTCTGCAAATAAAGCCTTGCAGCCTGCGTGAGGCTGTTCATGTGGATCTGAGCTCTGCAAAGCAGTAACTAGATCTCCCAAAGCTGTCGGAGCAGGTAAGTGATGTTCTCCTTCTCCGCACGGGGAGACGGAGTGAGCAGCCCTGGACTGTCCCTGGAGGTGGTGGCAGAGGCAGAGTTAGATGCCAGCTCTCCTGGCCCAGCTGTAACTGGGCAGGTTTGGGAATACTTCAAAGAGACTCTGTGGAGGGATTAATCCCTGAGCGTAGTGACTGTGGGTTTCCAGGGCTCTGTACAACCTGACAGATGGAGATACCTGCAGCGGCTCTTGCGTTCCTTGGGCTCCCGGATGCAAGCTTTGAGCCACACATGCTTTCTGAGAGCCGGTGCATCCACAGCACCTGCACCTGAGAGCGGGTGCAGGTGGAAGGCAGGAGTGCCGGTGTGCCACATCCCTCATAGCCCTCGTGCTGCAGAGGGGTCCTGCGCCCACCCTGATGACGGTGCATCAGCAGGGAAGCAGGCGGGTTCAGCATGAGTGAAGGCGGGGATGGGAGATGACTAAGGAAAAGAAATTTCCAGAGTGCTGTGTGAGGGGAGGAGGGGAAGAATGCTTTGCAGGTCCTCACCCGCTGCCAGATCGCTCTCGCTTCGCCGAGAGCCCAAGGAGGGAGGCCAGCTAAGGCAGGCTGACGCGGGGAGGGGGGCTGGCTTTGCAGGGCAGTGGCTGGCGGGCAGCCCGGGCGCTGGGCTCCATGCCGGTGAGCCTTCCCCTGGCGGGACCGGCCACGGCTGTGCTCCTCGGCTGCTCTAGGATGCTTCCCTCTCTCTTACAGGCTCTCCATCAGCTGTATTACGACCCGAACATCGAGAACAAGAACTTGGCTCAGAAATGGCTGATGCAGGCGCAGGTTTCCCCCCAGGCGTGGCACTTCAGCTGGCTGCTTCTCAACATGGACAAGGTGCCCGAGATCCAGTACTTTGGTGCCAGTGCTCTCCACATTAAAATCTCCCGTTACTGGAACGACATCCCCGCCGACCAGTACGAGAGCCTCAAGTCACAGCTCTTCACCCACATCACCCGCTTCGCCAGCGGCTCCAAGATTGTGCTGACCCGACTGTGCGTGGCGCTGGCCTCCCTGGCCCTCAGCATGATGCCGGAGGCTTGGCCCTGCGCCGTGGCAGACATGGTGCGCATGTTCCAGGCGGAGGACTCCAACGTGGATGGGCGAGCGCGGTGCCTGGCGCTGCTGGAGCTCCTGACGGTGCTGCCTGAGGAGTTTCAGACCAGCCGCCTGCCGCAGTACCGCAAGGGCCAGGTACGCAGCGTCCTGGCGCAGAAGTGTGTCTCTGTCTTCCCTTTGCTGGAGCAGCTGCTGCAGCAGCAGGACTCCCCGGGTTTCATCAAGCAGAAGGTGTTGAAGTGCTTCTCCAGCTGGGTGCAGCTGGAGATCCCGCTGATGGACTGCGAGAACCTGATCCAGGCAGCTTTCACCTCTCTGCAGGACCCGGAGCTCTTTGACACAGCGGTGGAGGCTGTTGTCAATGCCATTTCCCAGCCTGATGCCCAGAGGTAAGGGTAGCCTCTCCTGTGTGCTGCAGGCTGGTGCTCCTGAGCATCATCGGGGGAATGGGGTGGGGAAGTAAAACCTTAAGCTTTTTTTTAGCTACCAGGGGTCCTGGAGGTGATGATGACAGGGTTTGGAAGTGGGAGATGTTAAAAGCAGCCGGAGGCTCCTGGTTTTGCGTGGTTGGTCCTGAAAGGCTTTGCACCATGGTTGACTTGTGGGGACCATGTAGTCTTGGGCAGGCACAGCCCGTCTCCACCCTCCTCCTCTCAAGCAGAGGAGGATGCTCCCTTCTGGTTCCTTGTGCCAGACCCTGCAGTGTCCGACCAGGGAGCAGCTGCCTGGCTCTGGCCAGGGGGAGTTCAGAGACCCTTCTCTGCCTCGTGCTGCTGGTCCAGCCAAGGAGCTGATTTGATGCAGAGATAATAAAACCAGACCTGTCAGTCTTCCCCCTCTTCTTGGCTCCAACAGCTCGTGCCAGCCGAGGGACTCATCCTTTGCTTGTGGCCGTGGCTGCCCGGGGTGGGGCTGAGCTGGGAGCCAGGACTGGGGCAGGTCCTGCCGGGGCTGCTCTGTGGGACTCTGAGCTCGTCTGCTTGGCCGCGTTGTCCGAGCTGCTGTCAGCTCTCGGGACCAATGCCCACAGAAGGGAAAGTACATCTCCTCTGGTTCCTGCGGCCACATCCCTTCCTGGCTGCTTAGCAACCTTCCCCGAAGAGGAGGGTTTCCTTGAAGGCTGGGCTGAGATGCTGCCGCTGTGCATCCCTGTGCATCGCTGCGGATTGTGCAGGCTCCGACCCTCTGCAGCGGTGCGGATGCTGCTGCCGCTGCGGGTGTGGGCCCCTGGCCTCCCCTTGGCTTTTTATCCACCGAGGGCCACGGCTCGAGGGCAGCCTGGGGCTGCCCTCCACGATGACAAGGGGGTTGCATCTGGAGACTGCAAGTCCCGGTGCGCAAAGGGACCCGTCAGGATTTTTATGTGTTGCTGGGTGCAGAGAGGGTTTGCCTCATTTGCATTCAGAAGATGACCACAAGCAGCTTTTCCTTGTTCCTGGCAAAGGCTGTGGGCCAGCCCAAACTCTTCTAGGAGGATTGGTACAGAAAATGAGAAGGTGAGAGAAAGTGACTTGCAGTTCTGAAATGTTGGACTCGCTGCCTTCCTCCTTTCCATTTCCCTTGAGTCTCAGAAGTCTCTTGACTGTGATTCCCCACCTGTGTGCAGGAGCCTGGCCCTGCAGCGCTGTTCTTCAGTTGCATTAAAAGCCCAAGCTTTCTGTTGAGCTTTCAAAGTGAGTTTTAGTGAGAAGCGTGGCTGACAGTGGAGTTTTCTCTCTGCTCCCGTGCTGACCCTGCCAGTGCAGTTTCTGGCCCCGTTCGGTCCTGCCACACTGGTGGCTCTCTTACAGCATCACTGGCACTTGCTCTCCATCCTTCTCCTTGGAGGCATGATTGGCCGTGGCAGAGCACCCTCCCTGTCGTAGGCAAGCAGGCAGTGGCCAGGACGGGGTGGGCAGCCGGCCTGAAAGGCCGCCCAGTGTGTGCGAGCCTGGCGCAGCCCCTGCTCCCGGGGCGCGGGGACAGCAGTGGCATTGTCATGGGCTGCCCTGCCAGGCGGCATGTGGTGTCAGCTGCTCCAGGGAGGAGCAGGACTGTGCTCGGTGCTGAGATCCGGGGTAGCTCACAGAGCTGCCACTTCACAGCCCCGGTGGGCTCTCTTCCCCTTTGTTCCTTGTGCCCTCCATCCCGCATCCCTCTTCCTGCTTCCCCTGGTGCTGGCTGTCCCGCCTCTCTGGCTTTGTTGCTCAGCCGCAGCGGATCCAGCTCTTCCCCGAGCCCCCAGGGAGTCTCCCGACCTTTCTGTCTCTTTTCTCAACAGTCTGGGAGATCCCTGCTGCTTTTCAGCCACTCTCTTCCTCCACGGTCTCTCGCCTTTGTTTCTGCAGGGGCCTGGCTCCCCACTGCCCTTGGCCACAGGCTCGGAGCATCCTCGGTACTGGGCTGCCAACATGGTCCTCTCCAGAGCTTTGTAAGGCATCGCTCCATGAGAGGGTTAGTCTCAGGGCTCCCCACCTTCCCATGGGTTCCCCTGGGTGTTATGGACCCTGTGTCTTTCCTCCTCGCCCCCTCCCAGCTGTCTTCATTGACATTGCTGCGGAGGTGATCATGCAGGTGTGCTTCTACTGTCAGCAGAAGGCTCAGTGGCTCACGAGCTTGGCTTCTGTCACTGGTGGTTAGGTAGCCTGTGTGTCATCTTCCCAGGGGAGCACCACCTCGCAAGGCATCCCTCGTGCTGCAGCTCCTCACCCCGGGAGCAGCCAGCTGCCACCCGTGTCCAGGTGGAGAAGGGCAGGTGGGACCTCACGGGCAAGGATCACCCTCAGGGTAAGTCGATTGTGCCAGCAGCTTCCATTTCCCTGCCTGCGAGCAGCAGCTGGTGGCTTTCCTGCCTCTGAGGTATTACTAGATGAAGCGTTTGATCTTACCTGCGAGGCGGGTGGGAGCCCTTTGCACCCAGAGGAGGGGGTGTCCCGGGCATTGCTGGACCCTGGACGCTGCTCCCTGTTAGGATATGAGGTTTCTGAGAAGAAACCTTGGAGGTTTGGCTCTGTGCACACCTCTGCTCTTGGGAAGCAGAAGTGGGAAGCTCCTGAGTCGCAGGAGAGCAGGACGGAGGTATTGTTGCATCTCGTTTGCAGAGGAGGCTTGGGCTGGATTTTCCATCTCATTTGAGGATTATCCCCTGGCTAAGCGGGTCAGAGAGCTCGGTGGCACGTGCTGCAGGGGGAGAGCTGGCATGCAGCATTTGGCCACGCTCCTGCAGCCCGGCGGGTAGTGTTGGAGTGGGGAGAGGGACCTCCACGGCGTGTGTGCCCGTGGTGAGAGTTACAGAGCGTGGGCATCAGACACTGAGCCACCTCTCTGAAAGCAGCAGGGTATTGCTGCAGTGATGGAGCTGGTGGGATTGCAGGTGTCCAGGTGGGATCACATGGTGTCCAGCCCATCCCTTCCTGGTCTTGGCACCTGGTGCTGCATCTGTGAAGAGGAATTTCACTAGAAGAGTTTTCCAAGAGCTTCATTAGAAACAGGTTTTTAATACACTGGGTTTTCTCATCAGGACATGGCTCAGATTTTGGATCAGGAAGGATGAGATTGTCCCGTGTGAGCTGGTTGTCCCCTGCGTTGTGGTGTGGTTTGGGGAGGGTTGTGGGAAGAGCAGAAGGAGGTGCTGGTCCCATGGAGGGAGCTGTGGATGCTGCAGTTCACTGGGCTTTGAGAAGGGACCGGACAAACTCATGGAAGAAAAATTTGCTCAGCTGCTAAATACCAAGATAACAAATCTTGCTCAGGAAGTCTAACACAAATCACTGGAGGGAAATATATAGGGAAGTGTCACTGTATGGCTGCCACGTTCATAGACTCTTTCACAGGCATTCCCAGTCATCGGCTGCTGGAGACAGGCTGCTCAGCTGGGCGGCCAGAGGCTCACCTGGGCTGGGATGGTCTTGTCCTCTGCTGCCTGGCACCGGGGTGCTGGGGGTGGGAAGTGGTGGCTGGCAGCAGGGCCGGCAGACATGGTGTCTGCCTCCTGGGGCAGGCTCTGCACCTGGTCAGGGCTGTGGCGCCAGCTTGTTGCTCGGGGCTGGGAAGCAGCACTGACCAAGTGGGGTGGCCTGGGGCTCCGTGCTGGCTTGGCCATGGCTCTTGGCAATTGATTAAAACAACTCACCTAGAGTAGGAGTCTCCCTCCTCGCTGGGGACCCTTGTGTCCGAGTTGCCCTTACATCTGCATAGGCAGTGAGCAGAGCAAGGTGGTGCTCAGGAGACATGGTTCACCCAACCTTTTCTAGAAGTCTTCGCTAATATGGGATGAGTTGCAGCATGGAAGCAAATCCAGGTGGTTCTCTCTGTTGGGTGTGCAGGGAGTCCAGAGGACTAGCTCAGGTCTAGGCATCTGCACTGTGAGTATTTCAAGGTAACCAGCAGAAGCAGGATCCTTGTCATAAACTCCTAAAGTTGTAAAAACATCTCTAGGGTAGTGTGAGCCCAGAGCTGTGGAGGAAGGATGGCTTTGCCCTACACTGGAGCAGTGGAAGGTCCCCTGTGCCTTTTTGTCAGCTCCCTTGGGCTGACCCTGACTGCAGCATCGGTTCCCTGGGAGAGAAGCTGGTGAATTCCCAAATTCACCACCACTCCCACACTGCCACGGGCATCACCCATGGGGCATCAGAGGCTTGAAAATGGTTTACACACAAATACCTGTCCCCTTCACTGTGCGATTTCCTCTGGGGGAGAGGGGCAAGGCGGGTGTGACCCTTGGCAGCACACAGCACACAGAGAGGATGCCCAGGTGGAGACTCCCTTTTCCCTCTGTCTTCTCCCACTGACTGAGGCCTAGAAGCTGCCACCACCAGCATGGCACTTGCCCTGCACTGGTGGCACCGATGGCTTTGTTTTCTCCTACATCTCCATAGCAAGAGCTGCCGGTGTGCTGGGCAGCCATGCCGCTCCGGCATGGACATGCAGCAGTCCTAGTGTCAGCGCTCACATCTCTTCCCCGCAGTGGGCACAGGAGAGCTGGCATCACGTGTGCCTCCTGCTCCGAGCATCCTTGGCCCCACACCTGTGTGCGGTGGGGCAGGCAGGGAGTGCACGGAATAGCTGCGGCGCCGGATAACATGCCTTGGTGGGCAGGGAAATGGCAGGCTGCTCATCAGCCTCCGGCATGTCCTCTCTCCGGGGGCCCTGGGCTGCATTTCACCTTGGCTGCCTCCTTCTCGTTGCCTTGGTTACCATCACTTACAGGCAGCGGTGCGGAGGGGAGGCTGATGTGCGTGATATGATGTGGGAGAGCTGTGCTGTGCAGGCTGCAGCAGCCTGGGAGGGTGGTGGGCCAGAGGGACGTGCCGTGGGGCCAGCATCCTCCTTGGGTAGGAGTCCCCAAGGGTGGCTGCCCACTTCATCCCAGCCAGAGAGCACAATCCAGATGTGCCTGTGCTGGAGGGTCATGCGGTTTCCCACCGGCAGCTCTGGCTGCCGTCATGCAGAGCACAGAAGCACAGGCTGCAAGCATGGCGAAAAGAGCCTGCAGGTCTGCCCTCTCTGCCCTTCTCCCGCTCCCCATCACTGCCGGCATTGCCGCACGCAGGCGCAGCTCACTCGGAGCTGGTCATGGCAGTGACCAGTCAGTGCTGGTCGGGGGGTGCTGGCAGCTCTGCTGGCAGGTTCAGGCAGACAGAGGCAGATGCCCACACCGTGGTGCAGTGGGGGACTTGCACAGAGCTGATGGCCGCTGGCTCGGCCCTTCTCTTCGCTTGCAGAGGCTCCGCTGCAGGAGCGCTCGGGGCTTCAGCTTTTGTCCTGATGCCGCAGGCTGGGAGGAGAGTCCCTGTAAGTGGTAAAGGCTCCTGGATGCGTCCCGTTGCACAAAGCAGCCTTCCAGCAGGGAAAGCTGGGAAGGAACCCTGGGAGAGCATCAGGAGGGATGGATGCCATGGCAGCCGGTGCCGATGAGTTGATGCCCGGCACTGATCAGGCTGTGCTTGCAGGTACGTGAACACCCTCCTGAAGCTCATCCCCCCTGTGCTGGGGCTCCAAGAGCAGCTGCGCCAAGCAGTCCAGAGTGGGGACATGGAGACGTCACACGGAATCTGCCGCATCGCTGTGGCCTTGGGGGAGAACCATTCCCGGTGAGTGCTGGGGACGGTCCCCAGGAGAGGGAATGAGCTTGGAGCAGCCCACTGTTCCTCACACACTGCTTCGTCCAGGGCCTGTCCTGCACCTGGTGATGTGTGTCAGGGCAGAGGAGCCAGGCTTGCAGTGGTGGTGCCACCCTGACCGTGCTCTCTGCTCCCCAGGGCGCTCCTGGACCAGGTGGAGCACTGGCAGAGCTTCCTGGCCCTGGTCAACATGATCATGTTCTGCACTGGCATCCCTGGGCACTACCCTGTGAACGAAACCACAAGCTCCTTGACGCTCACCTTCTGGTACACGCTGCAGGTCAGTGGCCATCGTGGGGCAGCCTGCCCGGATCCTGCACTCCAGGCAGGGCTAGAGGCACTGGTGCATGGGGACTGGGGTCTGGCATGGCTGCGTTAGGTCCCCAGGGACTTCCGATGCCCCAGCTCCTCACCCTGCACTCGCAGCCGCCACAGGGCACGTACCTCAGAAATGCTGGCCCCATGGCTTGCTTTTTCCACCCCCAGTCTTCCTTGGAAGTCTGAGCCAGCCTTTAAGAGCCTCGTTAACATAACTAATTAAAACTTCATGCTAATTTTTTTTTTTCCAGCAGCAGACCTGGTTGTTTAGCTCCTTGCATGGCTGCCCCAGCCGCAGGCAGGGAGGAGAGCACGTGCTGGCTTACTGCAGGCTAGACCCTGCTGCCGGGCTGGTGGTTGTGGTCTCTCGGAGGAGGAAAGAGAGGGTTGGGGGCTGCTAGTGTGGGGTCCCTCTCCCAGGGCCAGTGTTCCCTGCGCCAACAGAGCAGCCCTGCCATGTCATGCTCTATTTTTAGCCCCTGTTCATCCCCCTACCTCCATTCCTCCGCAATCTGATGCCGTGTGGCTGAGCGTGGGCAGGGAGGGGGCGATGTTGGCGCTGTGCTGGCAGCTCCTCTGCTGTGTGGGGCCGGGCCGAGGCTCCCACCTCCTCTCGCTGCTTCTCTGGATGGGTCTGAGGGAACGGGTCCAGGCAGGAGAGTGCTGTGCTCCCCAGGCACCCATCCCAGGCTGCCTCATGGGGGTCCGAGGCACGCGTGCTCCTGATGCAGGCATGCTCCCAAGGCTAGGACATGGCAAGGCAGTGCCACCCTGCTGTAACGGTGCTGTCCTCAAATGCCGAAGGGTCCACCCAGATGCTGGGGCTTCTGGCACCTTGGCTCCAGGTAACACTGCCGCTGCAGAAGGGCTTGGCATCAGGTGGACCTTGGGGAGCTGGAAACGCAACCTCCAAGGTGTGACAGGTCCCACCAGCCCTGGGAGATGCCCCTGAGCCCCCTGTGCAGCGAGCATGCTGGCTCCATTTTCTTTCCCCTGCAACACCTGATGTATTCCTCCTCCTGCCACCAGGATGATATCCTCTCCTTTGAGCCGGACAAGCAGGCGGTGTACCAGCAAGTCTACAGGCCTGTCTACTTCCAGCTGGTGGATGTACTGCTGCACAAAGCCCAGTTCCCCTCCGATGAGGAGTATGGCTTCTGGTCTTCAGATGAGAAGGAGCAGTTTCGGATATACAGGTACAGCTGGGAGGTTTGGGTTTGCTCATCAGGCAGGCAAGGACGCAGGCAGCATCCTGCCTCCCTGGAGCCTGAGCACCATGGGGAGACCCAAGGAGGGACACGGAGGAGATTCCTTCTACCAAGAGCTGTTTTGGCTGTGGTGGCGATATGGAAACGAGCTGGTGTTTTGGCGTGGCACCAGTTGCCCTGCCTAGGAAGCCCTGGGAGCACTCCGCTTTGGGCTGGGGCTGTGTCCTTGTGCAGGCAGCGCCTGCATCCTGCCTGGCAGTGGGAGGGGAAGTAGTGTGTCCACGCGTGGAGCGCTCTGCAGGGGATGGGGACAGTGTTTGGAGACCCTCCGTGTTCTCTGCAGGGTTGACATCTCTGACACGCTGATGTACGTGTACGAGATGCTGGGTGCTGAGCTCCTGAGCAGCCTCTATGACAAACTGGGACGTCTGCTGACCAACACAGAGCAGCCATCCACGTGGCAGGTGAGCGAGGGAACCCGGGGGGCAGGCTGACCCCCCCCAGCCACTCAGGGACCTATCCTCGCCACAGGGTGTTGAGAGCAAAGGGACATGATAGAGGCGAGGAGCATGACTACCTTGCCAGCACACGTGGGCTCTCTGGGGCCTGCTGGGAGGAGGAACAGGTCTTCTGTCTCCTTGTCATTAGCGCTGCCCAGGGAGGCCGCTGCAGGGGGGTCTGATCTAGTGCCTGGGGCTGGGGTGGGCATCGGGGGTCAGTGTGTGGCTCTGACAATGCCTCTCCCACCCTGGCAGCACACAGAGGCCTTGCTCTATGGCTTCCAGTCCATCGCCGAGACCATCGATGTGAACTACTCTGACGTGGTGCCAGGGCTGATCGGCCTCATTCCCCGGATCAGCATCAGCAACGTGCAGCTTGCCGACACTGTCATGTTTACTATCGGTGAGGCCTTTGCTTGCATGCAGGCGGGGCTGGGGAGGGGGAGCCTCTCTGGGACCGCTCCTGCCCAGCAATAACAGTAGCAAAAAGCAAAGCTGAGCATCCTGGGACACGGGGAGCAAGAGCCCGCGACGCAGTCCTGCGGTCTGATTCCGTCTGTGTGCGCAGGGGCCCTGTCGGAGTGGCTGGCTGATCACCCCGTCATGATTAACAACGTGCTGCCGCTGGTGCTCCAAGCCTTGGGCAACCCTGAGCTCTCCATCTCCAGCGTCTCCACCCTGAAGAAGATCTGCCGGGAGTGCAAGTATGACCTGCCACCCTATGCCGCCAACATCGTTGCCGTGTCACAGGTAGGAGCTGGATGCAGATGGATGCGTGGCGGCGAGCCCGGAAGTGCTCTGTGCAAACCCTTTCCTCCGCGTGGATCAGGGCAGGGGGATGCAAAGCAGAAGCTCAGGGCATCTTGCTTGGTGTGGGGGACTTGTCCATCCTGTTCCTAGGCCACTAGACCCAGGTGGCAGGCCCCGTGTCCTCCTGTAAGTGCAGAAATGGCAGGCAGCAGCAGACGCGACTGCCAAGGGGTCCATTGGGGTTGCACTTGTGGATCCATCCTTTCCCCGGGGTTTGTTTGCCTTGTTGGGAGTGCCAGTTCTGCACCCGCCAGGCAGCTGGTGCTGCTGCTGAGCATCTTGGGGGGCATCCTGGTGTTCAAGCCTCTCCATAGAGACTGAGCTGGTCCCTGCAGTGCCAGGGCAGGTTGTCCCGTGGTCTTTCTTGGCTCTCAAGATTTGGGACAGAGGGGACTTGGAGTTCCAAGGCACTAGGAGGCGGGCTGGGGTGTGCATGGGAGCAGAGAGTAGCCCATGGAGGGCATGAGCCTCTGCTCTTAGAGCCTGGGGGACACCATCGCTGGGGTGAGGAAGCCCTGGCTGAGATTGGGTCCTCGAACTGTCCTGCTGCAGAGCTTATCCAAGGCAGGGGCTCCCCGCGCTGGGTGGCTGAGGGGGCTGGCTGGGGGAAGAGCTTAGCAGGGGACAAGGATTTTGCTCCCTGCCTGCAGCGGGTTGTGGGGAGGCTGCGCGGAGCCGTGTGCCACTTGTCTGTGCCCACACCGGTATCAGTTGTCTTGAACTCCTGTGTCAGTCCTGCCTCCTGGAAGGGAAGGGGCTTTCTGCAGCACTCACCCTCCTCTTTCTCTCTCCCCTTCCCTTCGGCAGGAGGTGTTGATGAAGCAGATTCACAAGGTAAGAGGGGCTGGCTCACACCTCTGGCTGGCTCTGCTTGCCCCCATTAGTTGTGCTCAGCTGAAGACATGAGGGGTGCCATCACGAGCTGGGCTGTCCCTGGAGGAGAGCTCAGCGCTGCAGCCATCGTGTGTGGGGCCAGGACTACCTGCTGGCTGCCTCTTGCTGAGCTGCCAGTCTCCCACCACACGTGGGCTGGGGTCACGCTGGGGGTGGTACGTTACCATAGAGAGGGAAGCCCCCAGGGAGACTTAACTCTAGCAGTTCCCAGTTCCTCCAAGCCCAAGGATGCCGAGATGGCAGGCATGTCTTCAAGAAGAAAAAGGAAGGAGATAAGTGTGGGGACGGAGCCCAGGCTGTGCCTGTGACCAGGATGGGGTGGGACGCTTGACCCCATAGGGGCTGAGACAGGTCTGTGCAAAGGATGGTGTGCCGAGGTGGGGTGAGTGGTGCCAGCATGGAGATCTCTGGGCACCAACTGGTCTTTCCTTGGCGGGTTGCTGGGAAGAGGCCAGGTGTGCTGGTGGCAAAGCGCCTGTTCCCTGGGTTCTGCCGTGCTGGTAGGGAGCTGCTCCCCTCTCCTGCAGTGAGTTGCACCTAGAGTGACCCAGATAGAGCTCCTCAGGAGCTGCAGCATGCTGGGGTCCTGGCTTGGCCCCTGGCAGCTGTCTTAGCTAGCACGTGTGCGGTAGGGCTGCAGGCTGGGCAGTGACCTGCCCTGTGGTGTCTCCTCTCTGTCCCAGACGAGCCAGTGCATGTGGCTGATGCAGGCTCTTGGTTTCCTGCTCTCTGCGCTGCAAGTGGAGGAGATCCTGAAGAACCTGCACTCCCTGATCACACCCTACATCCAGCAACTGGAAAAGCTGGCTGATGAAACAGTGAGTGCCCTCGTGTTACCTCCATCTAGAAGTGGCTTCTCCCGCTGGCCATAGCCCTGGTGCTGCTGTCTTGAAGCAGCGCTCTTGAACGTGCGCTTAAGAGAGTGCAGAGAACTCTCTGGCACTTTGCCTCTACAGCCCTGGTTCCTCAGCACCCCAAAGGCATGACTGTGATTGGGCAGTGTGGTCTATGTCACATTTTGGCTTTATTTTCCCTGGCAGCCCAATCCCTCCAACAAGCTGGCCATCATCCACATCCTGGGCCTGCTCTCCAACTTATTCACCACCCTAGACATCAGCCACCACGATGATGACCATGAAAGCACCGAGGTCAAGAAGCTGCCAGTGCAGCAAGGACCCAACCCAGTGAGTACAGCAGTAGCTCGATGCTCTTTGCCACAGGCTGGCCAAAGCCTCGCTATTCACTGCTGGTTCCAGGAGAGGGAGGCTAATGGTGAATGCAGCGTGTACCATGAAGAGGGTAGTGCTGGTGCCTTCCAGCTAAAACAAGTCCTTCAGCTCATCCCACTGCTCCTGAGGTAGGCAGAGGTCACCTGCAGCATCCCTCTTGATTGGGCGCTGCTCTGGAGGACAGTCTGGGCGCTGCCTGCCAGCTATGAGCTGTGCCAGGCTGCTTCAGCAGGGAAGAAACGTGCCCAGCTTCGGAGGGTGGAGGAGGCAGTGGTGCCTGAAGGTTTGAGTCCAGGCAGTGCTTAGTCTTGAACCTCCCCTCCCCAGTGCCATGGTGACCAATTCTCTTCAGTCCCTCTCGTTCCTTACAGGTGGTGGTGGTTCTGCAGCAAGTCTTCCAGCTCATACAGAAGGTTCTCAGCAAGTGGCTGAATGATGCCCAGGTGGTGGAGGTAACCAGGCTCCTCCTGTGTACTGCCTGCAGCTCTGCCTGTCCTTGCTGACCTGAACTGGGGACGGCAAAGGACAGACTCTGGGTGGTGCCCTGTAAGAGGGATGTCTTGCTGGGTTGTCTGGACCAGTGCTGCTTGCTGTCACCAGCAGCGTCCAGCCGTTCTTGTCTGTCTTGTGCCCCCATCAGCTCGGCTCCTCTCCAGTTACAGAAGCCCTGTCATGAGCAGGGAGATGGGAGATGGGGGTCTACCAAACCTGTGTTCCCTAAGGGGATAGCTCTGCTCTGACCTGGACCTGTGTCATCTGGTGTTTCTCCAGTTCGCTCAGTTCAGTAATGCCCAGGTGCAGTGTCCCACCAGCCACTCTTCCCCCTGGCCCTCCGGGAGCTTTCCGGCTGCGGTGGGAAGGGTGTTTCCTGGTCTCTGGGCACATCCTGTGCTGCAGGGCAGGGCACCAGTACCAGAGCAGGTCTGAGCCCTCTGCCTGGTTGCTCCCCATCCCCATTGCCAGCTCTTCCCTCCCTTGGGACCTGTCCGTCAAGCCCTACCCTGCCAGGAGAGGTCTCCAGATGCCCATTGCTCATGCAGCCCCTCTTCTCCCGCAGTCCGTCTGTGCCATCTTTGAGAAGTCTGTAAAAACCCTCCTGGATGATTTTGCCCCCATGGTGCCTCAGCTGTGTGAGATGCTGGGGCAGATGTACAGCACCATCCCCCAGGCCTCTGCCATCGACCTCACCCGGCAGGTACGTAGCTGTGCTCGGGACTGGGGCTACCACTCCCCGGAGAGGCCGGGGGCATGCAGGGCCAGCAGCAGCTTCAGTCCTTCTCTCTCTCTTGCAGCTGGTTCACATCTTTGCCCATGAGCCTGCCCACTTCCCTCCCATCAAGGCCCTCTTCTTGCTCGTTACCTCGGTCACGCTGACCCTCTTCCAGCAAGGTATGTTGGATTAACCCTTCTTCGCGCTGGGGCTGTTGTCAGGCTGTTGCATGCATGGAATCTGGAGGCGTCTTACCAGGAATGGCTGTTTTCACTCCTAGCTAAGCTAATGGGGCCATCTCTGTTTCTTGGATTCATCCCAACCCCTGGACGGTGGGTACCTTCCCTGCAGGGCAGCAGAAGCAGGAAACCCCCGGGCGAGACTCTGGACTGCCGTGACAGCCCCACTTCTGCAGCAGGGCTGGGTGTTGTGTGCTGCAAGGGTCAAGCCGGAGCTCCAGTCCTGCTTGGCAGGGAGGCTGTGCTTCCTAGGAGATCCCGGGGCTCCTCCCGGGGCCAGTGGTGCTCATAGTGGCCAGTAATCAAGCCCTCGCACGAACAGGAGGATATGTGTGTGAATATCTGGGAAAGGACCTTTTCAGAGTCACTGCTGGCCACCGAGTCACTGCTGTGATGCTGAGGATGCTGGAATCCTCCTGCAGAGCAGGGGCCTCTCTTTGGCTTGCTGCCTGCACTACAAAAAGCGAACGGGGTTAGGACAGGGCCCCCCATGGCTCCCCTCAGCCTCTTGGTGACTTGCCCCATGATGGAGACAAACGTACCTTGGAGCTGCTGGCTCTGGTCCTTCAGCAGCTCCATTTACAGTCCCCAAGGGGTCTTGTCCTTTGCTCACAGCCAGGTGCTGGGTAGGGTGATGCCTCCCCCCAGTACAAGGCTCAGAGCTCTCTAGAGAGGTGGGGGAGGTGTGAGGACCCCTGCTTCATCATCACGCCACAGTGCGAGCAAATCCCACTGCGCTGAGGTGTCGCTGGGGTCAGTGGCAAGCAAGCCGGGCTTACCCAGAGATCAAGTCCCTGCTTCTGCCAGTGGTGTGTGGATGTGTGTATGCTGAAACCCTCTTGGCTCGGCACCTGGGGAGGCGGCGATGCCTTCAGGCAGCAGCAGGCATGTCTGCAGGAGGACAGGGGAGGGGACAGAGCCTGAGCTGTGCCAACGCTTGAACGTGAGCTTTGCTCAGGCAAGCGGCCGTCCAGCTTGCTGTGTGCCCAGGACTGTGCTCCCACCCACCCCATGGGTCCCCTCCGGTGGGCAGCCGGCCCTGAGCAGGGCGAGCCCCTTCTGCTGAGCCCACGGGCGGCAGGGGAGGCGGGGGACGCCTGACCCCGCAGAGGCCGAGACGTGTCTGTGCACAGAGTCAGATGCCAAGGTAGGGTGAGCGGTGCTGGCATGGAGGTCTCTGGGCACTGAGCTGCTCTCTCCCAGGAGGATACTGCAGGAGACCTCCAGGAGGGTCCTGGACTCAGGGTCTCGGAGAGCATCTGGGAACGGGGCAGGAGGGTGACTGTGCCAGGGGCTCCTGAGCAGCTGGTGCTGGTGACAAGCATGTGCACGCCTGAGCCCGGCCGGGCCTGTCAAGCGTTTGCTGAGGTGTTGTCGTTCACTTGCAGTTATCTTCCAGGACCAAATGGTGCTCTGAAGACACCCTCTCAGTCCCCACAGTGCAAAAGCTCTAATTCTCCTTGTGGAGATGGTGCCCAGCTAGCCCCTGCTCCTCCTCCTCCTCTTCCTCCCTAAGGACACGAAGATCTCCTCCTTGGCTCTGCAGCGCCCAGGTGCTAGCTGGAGACCCTGGGGCTTCAGACCCTTTCCTTTGCAGTTTCTTTCTGTTCTTGGGTTCTCCAAGTTTCATGATTTTTTGTATGTTTTGTTTCTTTAACTTGCTTCAAGCTGCTCATGTTGCCCATCCCCTTCCCCACACACCCCTCCTCCCTTACACTCCTGTTTTCACTTGTAAATTCTTTCTGTATCACATAACTATATGATGTTGAGTTGCTGTTTGTATGATTTTTCTCTTAAGTTACATCTTTATTATATTTTAGGGCCCAGGGATCATCCTGATATTGTTGATTCATTTATGCAACTCCTGGCACAGGTGTGTTTTAGTTTCTTATTCATTCACTTTCTGTTCTCTCTCTTTCTCTTTTTAATTCAATTTAAACCTATTTTTAGCTTTCTGTTGACAACGTTTTTTTCCTTTTAGTTGAATATCGAGTTTCTCCATCTGTTTCCGTGGAAGTTGAAAACAAAACATTCTCCTTTAGTTCTGGGTTCGCACCATCCCCAGGGCAGTGCCCTCCTCTGCAGGGCAGCCTCCAGCTGCCACCCCCTCGCCTTGCTGAAGCTGGTGCGGAGCGCTTGGGGCTGCTGCCGCAGTCACCCTCGGGTGACAAATTAGAGCATTAAGTGGATGTTTTCCAACCCGTTTACCTGCCCTGCAACAGGTCCTCCGGAGCGGGGACGGGCTGAGCTGGCTGCCTTGCCCCGGGGCCAGTGGGAGGAAGCCCCCGCCCCCGGTAGCAGGCAGCTGCCGGGGTTTGGCTCTGAGCAACGTGCTTGTGATGGCGTCTGG